CTTAGCAATGCATATTACTAATCAAAAATTAAGTTTTAATATATTTACAGTAGGAAATTTACGAAATATCTTCATGGAACATTATCTTTACTTAATATCCTAATGATTTTTGGCATAAAAGAAAAATCAATAATTTTGACTCGGACAATGTTTTTTTGGCTATTGCTACAAATATACCCCAGCGACTTAAGACTGGTTTTGTGGTTTTGTGCTCCAGTGCTGCTAGAGCTGAGTTTAAGCATGAGTATGATGTTTTTGTTTTAGTATTGAATTCTGGGGAATACTACATGTTTGAGTCTGACAGCGGAGAGGAAGATGAATCCTTTCCGGAGGAACAGAAGCCTCGTCAACAGACTGCCTTTCAGGTGACACGCTTTGTATTGAGTTTGTTCTCTGTTCTATATTTGGTAAGGCAGTTTTTTGTGTAAAGTTTGAGTGTATAAACTGTTTTCCACAGCTGGCATACCAGGCTTGGGTCTCCAGCGCAAAAGAAGCCCTGAAAGACCGTCAGCAGAGGCAGAGAGAGCAGAGAGCGGAAGCAAAGAAACAACAAACCTCTCAGGCTACAGGTTAAACATTGACCTATATGCATATGAAACATGCAGTACAAACATAGAGAAACAAAGCAATCAGCTGCAGACTTCATCATATTACAAATGAATATTGAGTTGTCTATTTCTCTCGGTGGTTAGCAGATGATGCTGAGGAGGGTGAAGCAGTTTTTGATGGGAACTCCAAAGAAGCAGAGGAGATGCAAGAGGAAGGAGATGATGCAGGTGAGCAAACTCTGTCATCTGGTCAGTTTTCTCTTTTAGCTCTGATGGCAGAGCAACAGTTTGAGGAGAGTTTTGCTGAGCAAGTTAATTGTAGTTAGTTCAATTATGAATATATATAGTTTATAGCTAGCTAATAATTAATAATAACACATCTAGGTTAATGGCACAGCCATTTGAAAATAACTCTAGCCCCTTTTAAATATGGAGATTTATTACCACCTAACTGTAAGCATCTGAAAAACAGGGCAAAGGCTTGAAGGTGCCTTGAATTTCACATGACATCCCAATGCATCATTCTGATTTTACAGCATCTCAAGCCACTGGCAGTGATATAGTGCAGAAGATTCTGGACATACTGAAGTTCCTGTGGGTGCTTTTCCTGGCCATGGTGGACGGATTCACTATGTGGCTTAACTTGCTCACCAAGCAGTATGTAGACACTTCCATGGTCCTCTCTGAGGAGCGCTACCTCTTCATTCACAACATCAGCCAGGTGGGTAACTCACTCACTCAAACATTATCCAATGCGTCGTTGGCATTGTTCTCATGGATTCTGTGCCATCTACAGAGACCCTCCAGAGAGCCCATGGATGATCAGATATCACAGGACAGTGAGAATCTCACTGTTGAGACATGTCTCGATGAAACTGACACAGACAATGTTCGCTTCAACAGTAATGTCAAGTAAGTCTGACCTGCCCAGCAGCCAGTTTCCTACATGGATAGTATGTGTACATAACCAGGAATTTGTCAAAAGTGTACATTTTCATCTGGATAATGTTATTTTTTAGAACGTTTGCTCATCTGTAGTATACAAATGACCTTTTGTACAACGACTTTAAATGGTCACTATCACCAGTTTACTTAACTGATTTGTGATCTGGTAATATTCCAGGAGCTTTTTCCACAATATTTTAAAGTCTCTTGTGCTCAACAAGGCTGAAATGATTTATTATTATCAAAAATACAGTAAAAACACTAATATTGTGAAGTATTATTACAGTATGTAGACACTTCCATGGTCCTCTCTGAGGAGCGCTACCTCTTCATTCACAACATCAGCCAGGTGGGTAACTCACTCACTCAAACATTATCCAATGCGTCGTTGGCATTGTTCTCATGGATTCTGTGCCATCTACAGAGACCCTCCAGAGAGCCCATGGATGATCAGATATCACAGGACAGTGAGAATCTCACTGTTGAGACATGTCTCGATGAAACTGACACAGACAATGTTCGCTTCAACAGTAATGTCAAGTAAGTCTGACCTGCCCAGCAGCCAGTTTCCTACATGGATAGTATGTGTACATAACCAGGAATTTGTCAAAAGTGTACATTTTCATCTGGATAATGTTATTTTTTAGAACGTTTGCTCATCTGTAGTATACAAATGACCTTTTGTACAACGACTTTAAATGGTCACTATCACCAGTTTACTTAACTGATTTGTGATCTGGTAATATTCCAGGAGCTTTTTCCACAATATTTTAAAGTCTCTTGTGCTCAACAAGGCTGAAATGATTTATTATTATCAAAAATACAGTAAAAACAGTAATATTGTGAAGTATTATTACAATTTAAAATAACTGTTTTCTATTTCAATATATTTTAAAATGTAATTTATTCCTTTGATAGCAAAGCTGATTTTTCAGCAGACAATTTTCAGAATTCAGTGCATCATGATCCTATTAAAATGCTGATTTGGTGCTCAAGAAACAATATCAACGTTGAAAACAGTTTTTGCTGCTTAATATTTAATCAAAGGTTTGGTGCATGTAAGATTAAAAAAGAATCAAAGAATCCTGAAAATGTATCACAGTTTCCACAAGAATATTAAGCAGCAAAAGCTGATTTTATCAATGAAAATAAAGAACCACAATTAATAATTGTGCACCAATAATAATAGATAATAATTTAGCACAAAATCAGCATATTAAAATTATGTTAACTTATCTTAAGTAACTTGTCTTACTTATAACTTATCTGTTTTAAACTTTGCAAAATCACAAAACTTAGTTTATTTCCAATTTTAAATTAGGTTTTGAATCCCAGATTTTCAAGGTGGTCTCAGTCTTTTTCCAATGCTGTTTCATAAAACATTTATTTTTGGATGTTAGATTAAGTAGATTTTTTTTTTTTATTATTTATTTTTATTTTTATGCCATGTTCTAACCAGACATGACAAGCAATTTGCTGGACCCAAACATTCTGTGCCACAGGACAATCACAGCTAATTAGAATACACAGTACTTGATGTTTAATATACAGCTTTGTGGGGAAGGATTTTAGACCAATGTTATTTCAGTGTGGGATGACTCAGTTTCTGTCAGTTACGAGCAAATGTCCCATTTGTTTTGCAGTGTGGTTGAGTTGGAGACACTGGGTGGTTTTCCAAAGTCCCGTGACTTCAGCAGCACAACTCTGTCCTCTGAATTCACATTAGAGCTTGATACAGAACCATTTTACAGCCAACACACCCACCGCCCTCGACGCTCCAGAACTGCAAGTGAACTGATTTCAGAGAGGTGCTGCTTTCAAATGCTTTGTATGACATGACTGTATGATCTCCTGCCATTATTAAAGGGTGAAACTCAAGAAAACATTTCTGGAGTTAGAAATAATATTTTTAAGAAAATCTGTTTAGGACCATGCCTTCTTAGCTTTTTTTAGTTGTACAGCACTTATTTTTCACATTTCACATTATGTGAATACAACTTTTTAATAAAATAAAACCTTTTTGCTTTACATTAATGGAGAAAATGTTTATTGATGTTGTTATTAAATAGGCTTCATTTTTATGTAAAATACCATTTTGGCACCCTATATGTTTCTGCAGTTTAGTTATTGTCTCTGTATTCTCTGTTCCAGGCCGTTCAGTGTTGAGGAGTTGAAACAGAGTCGTGAGTTCTACTCGTCCCAGAACCGACTGCTGAAGCTGCTCTTTGCGCTCTATAATGTTCTGGCGGCGCACTCAGAGCTGGTCTGTTATTTCATTATCGTGCTCAATAACCTGGTGACAGCCTCTGTCATCTCACTGGTGCTGCCAATTCTCGTCTTTCTTTGGGCAATGCTGTCTGTGCCACGACCTTCCAAGAGGTTCTGGATGACGGCTATCATCTATACAGAGGTGGGCAATGGAATGGAAAATGCCTTTGTAAAATTGACTTTGTGATTTGATTCAGATATGTGACCCGTTCTGGCAAAATGAGCCGGAATGCGCACGGGCTAATTTTGAGCTACAGGCAAAAAAGTGAAAAATGTCGATTTTAGTCATTTTTGAGGTTTTCACAAAAATTAGTTCATTAAGCCTTCGTCTAGCGATCCCAATGCTCCAGATAATAATTTTAGATGTTTAATTACCTTTATTTGTATGTTTTCTGAGAGGAGTAACTTCTCTCTGCTCGTTTCTCATGCTGTCATCCGAAACACGCAATCCCGATAAATATACACATGCACAGAATTACAGTATTTTAAGTATTCACGCAAACATAATCTGGTATGTCTTAAGTGAACGTTCGGGGAACTGTTGGAGGAAAGCATCTGATGTGTAACATTATATTAAATCTGTGCATTACAGTAGGTCTTAATATATAGGCCGTCTCATTAATGTTAATCTAACAATAAAAGAAAATAGGGAATCAACTTGCTGTTCTTGATTGAACTGCTTTTGTAGTTTTAATAATTTATTTGTAATGAACACACTAAAGGGATTTTTACATTTGATTATTCGTTTTTCTTACTTGAATGCTTTTGTTTAGATGTAAAATGAAAAAGGTAATGCATTATTTGTTTCTTTCTTATATTTGTTCTGCTGTTTTTTTTGCATATTTCCTTATTTATAACAACAAAGATAAAATAAAAAATAGCTATATTGTGATTATTAATATAGTAATTATTAAGAAAAGAAGTGGAGGAAAAGATGCAACGTTGCTCTGTGATTTTGCTTTGGAACCTTCAGAAAACTTTAACTCGTTTTTTCTCAAAACTGACTTTGCTGACTCTATGGACATCAAACAGGTGTAACTCAGTCATTTTTCATTCGATTCCAACAAATCATACATCATTCTGAAAGTCTTTTAATGGAGAATGAACAGTAACTAATTTTTGTAAATTTGCTCATTGCATTTACTCATTTTGCCAGCACAGGTCGCATATGTTTCAGATAATAAAAAAAAAAAATTAAAATGTTAATATAATGCTCATTATATTATCATTATATTGTGTTCATGATAATGCTTTTTAGTTTATTTATTTTAGCAAATGGCTGCAATATAACAAAGAGTGAAAAATTTAAGGGGGTCTGAATACTTTCCGTACCCACTGTATATAAAACACTACTTTAACTACCTTTAAAAAGTAAATTTTTTTTTAATGAAATCTTTATTTCTGTTCTATTGTCAAATCATGCTTCGGGAGTTTAGGTTTAAAAAAACTAGCTTGCTCATGCTGGTGCTGGTGACCATTCGAACCACCAGTGGGACTGAGGTTACCCTAGTGGACTATTTTGGTCAAGTTGATTAAGGCTGGTAGACCACCTTGGGCCATAAATAAACCAACTGCTATGTTTCAGTAACAGCTTGACTACATTAACCCTGTAAAGCTTGACATATGAAATAATAGTCAGAAAAGGAACAGTTTACTGAAACCTTAGACAATATATATGCGGACATTGTTGGGACAGTAGCCCAGGGCAGGCTTGGACTGGGTTGTTTCACCAGAACGAGCTGGAACAAAGCTGACCCAAAGGAGCGCCGCAGCATGGTACAGAGGGAGGTCCGTAAGGCAGAGGAGGAAATCCGACATGTTAAGGCTGTAGCCATGAAAAAACAGGGCAGCTGGACAAGGTGGGAGGGCGTACGAGAAAGGGCCCTGACGTGGCAGGACATTTGGATCATGGAAGGACGCCGGATAAAGTTCTTGATGTGTTCTGTCTACGATGTGCTGCCTACTCCATCAAACCTCCATATTTGGGGGATGGCAGAGAGTCCCAGCTGCACATTGTGTGGAAAGCAAGCCAACCTTGAGCATGTCCTCTCAGCATGTCAGTCAAGTCTGGCAGATGGGAAATTCCGGTGGCGTCATGATAAGATCCTGTCTCAGTTGGCAGATGGTGTAGGACAGGCAAGGAAGAAGGTTAAACTTTCTAGCGGGCACCACTTTAATCAGTTTGTCAGGACAGGAGAGAGCACTGCAGCAGGACGGAGGAGTAGAGGGGTCTTGGCCTCAGCACAACCTGCAGCTGTCGGTGACATCAGTGCTCGAGGAGTATAAGGCAGCAAAGACACGCCAGGCCATGATGCTGCGAGACAGCAAGGACGAAAGAGTACGCCAGGCAGGCATTGTGGTCAGGACAGGCCGTAAATGGTCAGCCAGCAGAGCATTGACGGAGGCTGAGGATCGGCTGCAGCGCGCGGACATTGTTGGGACAGTAGCCCAGGACAGGCTTGGACTGGGTTGTTTCACCAGAACGAGTTGGAACAAAGGGCAGTCACTCTGGAGAACCCTTGGGCTGCTGGGTATTGAAGGGATGGCCAGGAAACAGCTGGTAGGCAAGGTTACCGAACAGGCTGAAACAACATCTCATTGGATCTGGATGCAGCGGGAGGTGCGGTGGCAGAGCCAACCTATTGAAGGGCGAACAACAACATAGAGTTGTTGGTGGTCAGCAGGGGTAGATCCAGGACGCTGGATCTGCTGTCGAGCCTTCCCGAGGTGTCATGGGCTTAAATCGGTGAAACACCAATGAAGGGGGGTGCCCATCTGACGACCAGCTGTAACTACCAACTCTTTGACCTGGTGCTTGAAAGGAAGAGAGAAGGAGAGGAGAAGTGATGCCACTGGCTCACAGTTGGTGCAGGGCTAAGTACCTGTAAAGGTGGGCCAGTTGCGATGGCCTCATCGTATTTTGCATATAGCATATATATATATATATATATATATATATATATATAGTTTTTTGAATGTATTGATAGTCAATTTTTCTTAAGGTTCTTCAGTCCAGTAACAATATAAAAGTTATTCTAACGTTTACTTTAGAAAAATCTACAAAGATTTCACTGCAAAAAGACACATGTACCACAACCTGAAGGGGTTGAAGGGTTTTTAGAATTACACTAAAAGGCCTTTTACCTGCTCAAAAAAAGGATAAACTATCAATCAGATGACAGAAGGCATGTAGATGATTGTGTACAACGTTTTTTTCAGCAAAGTTTTGATCATGTTATGATCATTTAGAGGTCCTTGTGTATCAAATATGGTACAGTAGGCTTTAAAGGGTTAAGCTGGTATGACCTATTGTTTACAGCAGAACATGCTTTTCTATATAAAAGGGACATTCTTTTGAAAGCTTTAAAACTTTGCAAAACAGTTACGGGTGGAACAATAATAACTTATTGTGTGTCTCTGGCCTGTGTTTCCCGCAGGTCATGGTGGTGGTCAAATACCTGTTTCAGTTTGGCTTCTTCCCGTGGAATACTGAGTATGAGCTGAAGTTAAATGAGGACAAGCCGTTCTTCCCTCCTCGCATCCTGGGCCTAGAGAAAACTAACAACTTCATCCGTTATGATTTGCTCCAGCTATTGGCCCTTTTCTTTCACCGGTCACTTCTCCAGGTATTCAGTCTGGCCTGCTCAAAAAAACAAAAAACAAAAAAAAACAAGCCTAGACTAGTTAAACTATTTCAGATGCTTACCATCTTAAAAGTTGAGTTAAAACATTCATTGTTTCTATTTAAATCTCTTCCAATTCAAAAGATTTGCATTGGTATGGCAGTTACCTTTGCATGCCTAATTTAAAAATAAAATCCAATGTTGACACATCAAGGCATTCTATATGGAATTCATAATCAATCTTGCTATTTTACCATGACGGTGTAGTTTCTGTGAAGATTTACAATCTACAAACACCATTTGTCTTATATTAGGACTTGGCATCTAGTTTGTTCGTGATTCAGCGTTTTTCATTTTGACTCTCTCAGCGTTATGGTCTCTGGGACGGCCCTCTGGAAGAGAGGAGCAATCTTTCATCTGCGGAGAAGAGCAAGAATGAAAGAGATGAGAATGTCTTTCAGCTCTCAGATGAAGAGGACAGCCGAGCACAGGCAGAGCACGACACGAAGGTGCTGTCAATGACACCATCGACAGAAACACCGACCGATGCTGAATTACAGACTGACCCAGAGCCCGACATACAAACAAATACCACAGAAACCCTTGATACAGTGAAGGAGGGTGGAAAGAAGAAGAGTCGTTTCCTTCGCTTCCGCAAGAAAAAACAGTCAGAAGAAGGTCTGTTGGAAAAAAATGATTACAGGATATAAGTATATATTTAATATACCTAAATTATGTCTATAAGATTGTACTGAGTTACCTGTACCTGTACCTATTATGTGTAGTGTTATTTTGACATGTACATAAACTATCCTCTCACAGACACTAGACAGAAAGAACCGAAGAAGAAGAAGAAAAAGAAGTCAAAGAAATGCAGCGAGGACACCAGTAAAAAACGATTGAATGCTATTGGAGGAAAACTCAAAGGACTTTTCTTATCCATGTAAGATTCTTGTTGCTTTTGTCTCAAGCCAGCAGGAAAGACTAGATCATTGCAGCTTATCAAAGTCTAGTTGGTTTGATGATGGTCTGTCAGCCCTGATAAATCATCTAGATCATCTAATGATCATAAATGATCAGATTGGACCAGTTAGCAGCCATGTAAAACTACTGGATTTTCCAGGATGGAATTAAACAAATTTTGTTGCTGTGTATTGCACAGTTGCAATATTTTACTTGTTTTTCCACATTAATATAAAAAATGTAGATCACCATTCATAGCAAAGCTACGAGAAGGCAAAGTGTACTGTGGCATTGGTCAGCACACACTCAGTTATTTTGGTAACGCTTTACAATAAGGTCCCATTAGTTAATGTATTAACTAACATTAACAATGAACAATACGTTTGTTACTGTATTTATTATCTTTGTTAATGATCTCTGTTAAAAATACAACTGTTCATGTTAGCTCAAGTCCATTAAATAAAATTAACATAGACAACTTTTGATCTTAGTAATGTATTAGTAAATGTTGAAATTAACTGAGAATAATAAATGCTTTAGAAGTATTTTTCATTAATTCATGTTAGCTAATGTAGTTAACTAATGTTAACAAATAGAACCTTATTGTAAAGTCACCATTATTTTTATTCCATCAAAATCCAAACTGTGCACAAGATAAGAAAATAATTGTGCAAAGTCCATTGCAGAAAATATTGAAATGTATATTTTGAATACCCATACACTGAACTTAAACAGAACTACAAATAATATTGGTATATTACATATCATGATCCAGAAACTGACACAATGTTGTATCACCAGTTCCCTGCTGATTCACAGGTCCCTGCTCATCTTGTAGTGGAATTCATGATGTGAAATAATAAGATATTTTGGGTTTGACTGTTTTTCATTTTATCTTGTGGTGTGTTTTCATCTGTGCAGAGTCAAGAATGTCTATAAGCCAACCTGTGGATTCTTCCAGAACATCCTTCATGCAGAGTATCGGGCAGCTACTGATGTCTACGCTCTTATGTTTCTTACTGATATGGTGGATTTTATCATCATCATCTTCGGTTTCTGGGCTTTTGGAGTGAGTAAAGAAAATCTTACATCTTTAGTCAAAAAATCTTAAAGGAATGCCTACAGGATTTGCATTTGGAATTGCATAATTTGGCATGATTTGGAACAAATCCTTCTCAAGCACTGTGTTGAGTCTGTTCTGTTCTAAGTTAAAACATGAACTCTAAATGCAAATAATAAGATTATGCAACTGCATTTAGGATACCAAATTAAATAAGACTTGTTGACTTGAAACCAGTTGAGAACCATTTAAATGTGAAATGTTTGCTCTGTCTCAGAAATACTCGGCGGCAGCAGACATAGCCTCCTCTCTGTCTGAGGACCAAGTCCCCGAGGCGTTTCTAGTCATGCTCCTCATTCAGTTCAGCACCATGATCATTGACCGTGCACTCTATTTGCGGAAGAGCATCTTGGGAAAGCTCATCTTCCAGGTTATACTGGTTTTCGGTATCCACCTGTGGATGTTCTTCATCCTTCCTGCTGTCACTGAGAGGTAAGGGAATCTTCTCCACCTGTGTTCAGATGCAGTTTGAGTATCGGAGAATGTTCACAAATGATTGACTTTGCAATCATCAAAAATCAAAATCAAGATATTTTTCAAGGAGTATATCATTTTTCTTTATTTTCACAGGATGTTCAATCATAACTCAGTGGCCCAGCTCTGGTATTTTTTCAAGTGCATCTACTTCACTTTGTCAGCGTATCAGATCCGTTGTGGCTACCCTACACG